TATGTAAGAACTTGTTCACCATGTAAGAACTTGTTCGTTATGCTTCAGAATATTGGAGACTGACGAGAATTAGGCTTGGGGTGGATTAATGATTGTACATTGAGCATTGAGTCCCCTATACAGAATTTTATTGTTGTTAACAACCATTTGATCAATAAATATGAGAGATGCCCTCTCAAAAAAAAAAAAAGAACCAAAACGTGTCAGGTTATGGGTGATTTTTACTTGTGTGTATGTTATTTTCTATGATACAATGTGTTAATATTTGTAATCAGAAAATTTTAAGAAACAAAAGAAGAAAAACATTAAAAATGAAGCGAAAAAAGCAAATAGAAGAAAAATATAGGCACAGAGAGTGGATTAGATAATCCCTTTAAGACTGTTGCTTTGGGGGGGCTCTGCTTGTTTTGTGGGAAAGGGTAGACCGGGAAGCCACTCAGTGACACCCGTTCCCTCCCAGCAGCACCGCCTCCCGTCCTCGGCGGAGGCTTGCCTCGGCTTGGTGCTGCCACCTAGAGGTCAACGGTGGACATTACTTCAATCCCGTCTGGAGCGGCAAGTCCCTCCAGCTGCAGTTTGCAGTTTTCATTTTAAGCCCCTGGGTTTCAGGTCTGAGGACAGAGCTTCATGGGGACTTCCAGTGAGAAGACAAGACAGGAGGAAAGAGTGACAGAATGAGATACGGAACACCTGTGTGTGCATTATTAGGCATTTCCAAAGCAGGACAGCGGAGCACGAAACCAAGCGTGGGGTCCGTCTGGGCATAGGCAGCGTATCCATCAAGCTAGCCCTGCTTGCAGACCTGCACTCGGATGTGGGTGTGTTCGCGATGCTTCTGCATGCTGTGCATTTGTGTCTGCGAGCAGTCGTGTATATTTATGAGGAAGCATTGGGTCGTTGTGCTCACGTTCCCGTGTGAAGACACGCTTGCCTAGGTAACTAGGTGCCCGTTCGCGTGTAGAGAGAGAGCAGGTTTCTGTGTTCCAGGACCCAGCGCCTCACGTCTCTTGGGCTGCTGGGCAATAAATAACAAATAGACTGACTCCCCTGATACCACCTCTAACCCGGGCTGTCGCTGCGCTCCCGCCCCTGAACACTGCAGAACCTTCCGTCCTTAACAGCTCCAGCTCCACCCAAACCCCGGCACCAAGGGACTTGACTAAACTCCGGCTTGGCTCGTAGCGGCCTGAAGCTGCGTCCCTGGGATGGGCGCAGGCTCCCGCGGAAACGCCTGCCTGGGAAAGCGCACCTCTGCGGAACTGGCCGTTTGTTCCAGCCAACACCTCAAACAGGCGTCTGAACCCCCCTGTGAGCAGTTACTTGAGAAAGTTTACAATTTTAAGCCCTACCTCTATCCCTCCGATGTATATATATCTCCCGAAACCCAGCTGTGCGGACAGAGTCCAGCACCCAGTACTGCCCGCCGGCAGACCGCCCTTTGTTAAGTCTGCACTTGAGTGCCCTCCCTCTGCCCTCATCCTCCCTTTAAACGGCCGGCCCCGCGGCGAATCTCAGAGGAGCTGAGCACTCCCCCTGCTGTCAGTAGTTACTAATAAGATCTGTTTTCACAACTTTACTGTCTGCCACCTTCACCACCCAGGGGACTCCGCCAGGCCTGCGCGGGCGGCTGGAGCACAGTTTGCCTAAAGCTGCAAGCACCGGGGAGCTGGCACCCTGGGGGCAGCTCTCACCCCACGCCCCTGGACTGGGAGCTCTGATGCCTGGGCTCCACGCTGCTTCCCAGAGTCCCTTTGGGGAATTAATTTCCTTCCAGTTGTCTGAGCGGTAATTTACTTAATAATGTACATTTTATGGCTTCCTGCCTTCTCTCTCACTTCCCCACTCCCCTGCCAGCATTGCCCAGTGATGGTGTCCTGGTAGGCCCTTCACGGGATCCTCAGGCAGGGCCTGCTTGCAGGGAACCCAAACTGTGAGGCTGCCCCGGAGGCTTATGCGTGGCCATCAGAGCTCTGCCCCAGGGTCTGTTCTGTACCCCACCAGCTGATGCTGCACAAGGGTGGTCTGATAATGGACAAGGTGTTTACCTGTCTCCTGTAGGCAAAGCCTTGCTCAGACTCCAAGGAGGGAAAATTCTGGGACTGTAGTCCCAGCTCTGCCTGCAGAGAGCTGAGTTAACAAGGGTAACGAGGTCACTTCCCTTCATTTGCCATAGTGGGCCTCAGTTTCCCCATTTGTTATATAAGAGGGCACGGGGATCCCTAAACTCCTTGCAGCTGTGGCCTCTTGCTCCTCTTCAGGGAGGGAGCACATGGTCTAATGACCCCAGCTCCACAGTCCACGATGCCCTGCTACACAGTCACCTGTAAACATTACTCAGGTTGATTTTCCTTGCTGACATTACCTGGCTTTTACGCAAATCAAATGCTCTGCAGCTTTTCCTCGTTCTTCACCCAGCTTTAAGATCGCTGGCATTTTATTATCAGGAAGAGGTTAGGGACTAGCTGCAAATATGAAGATCTTGGTGTGAACGGCCTCCTCTGGATTCTGTGTGACCGGGCTGTTTGTTCTCCTCCGTCCTCGTCTGCACCGTAACAAAGAATTGAAAGGCAGAGGCACAATAGCGAAGCAGAGCAGAAGTTTTATTTGAATACACTCGACGGGAGGAGCAGGCAGAGTCAAGGTGGACAAAGCCCTTCACCCCTTAGGCGGCAGGCCTATATATTGCCCTCTGGCTAGGAGGCGCCTCTTTGATTGACATGGTGGGGTTATTTGATTGACAGGTTCATCTATATAAGCATCCCTCTCAGGGCACATGTCCTTTTCCATGATGAGGCGGGGTTTGGGTAGTTCTTAGTTCTGTTTAATTGTGCCCACGTGGGGTCTGGTTGGGACTGGTTTGGCCTGGTCTCCAAAAGCAAGGAAGTTATTTCCCTGCAAAGCCTTTATTATCTTCACATGGGATCCCCTACCTGGGCAGAGTTTGGGAGGATTTTTCATTGAGCCTTATCTTCCCCTTCCCCAGCCACTCATGTCCATCTTTCTACCTAATATTCCTAATGTTTATACAAACATTGTAGAAGCCTTGACCCTACTCATGGAAATTTCTGAGAAAACCATTGTTTACGCTTCCTCAGAGCAATGTCACCTAAGGCAGACAGCCTGAATTCAAATCCCTGCTCAAGACTTACTGTGTGACCTTGGGCAAGTCACTGGACCTCTGTGCCTCACTTTCTGAGTCTGTAAAATGGGGGTTATGAATGAGTTAATGCTTGTGAAGCTCTCAGTGAGCTGTATTCCTAATGGGGTCACCCTGGGTTTTAAGTCTCTCAAGTCTGAGGAAATATATAGTCTCTCCACAGTGACTCAACTCTTCTGTGGCAGATATGCCAGGAGGTTGAGGGGTGGGGGGCTGACTGGGTAAAGAGGTAAACAGACCTAACTGAATACAGAACAAAACCTAGAGGAAATCCCTTAGGAGTCACAGGTGAAGAGAAGTTGAAGAAAGCACCTTGTTATCGCCGCGCTTGGGGGCGTAGAGGCAGCAGAGGAGCAGTGCCGGGGGAGCGGCTCAGAGGTAAGCAGGCAGCGGGGAGCTCTTCATTCTGGACCTCCAAAAGGACAACAGTCACATATGTGGTTCTGCTGGGTCTGGAATGTCCTACGCAGGAGTCTGCACGAGGACCGCGACCTCCTCCGGGGCTCCAGCTCTCTGCGCTCTGAATCACCTGTGGACTGAGGTAGAGCTTCACAGCTCCTAAATACCCGCTCCAGGCCTTCCTGTCCTGGCCCTCCCGCTCCCTTGTTTTATGACATCTCTGTTGCCCTTCTCACACCCTAGCCCTGGGCGCCGTCTGAGCACAAGAATTATTCAACCTTGTCTCCCAGTGCCAAACACTCAGCATCTATGTGCTCAGACCAGGGGGCGAGCTGGACTAGGCTAATAGTCTTTTGGGCTGGTTCTAGGTTAGAACATCTGAGGGTGCTTTTATAGGCTTCCCATCAGGTAGTATTTGCATATAACAGGAATTATGAAGAGGGTTCTGAATCACTAGGAGCAAATGAGACCCTGGATGGATTGAAGGGTGAATAATTTTTCCATTGTGTGAACTAATGCTTCCACTGTGAACAGCGGTCCACTGGAATGAGACTGGGAATAGGGAAAGCCCAGGGCTGCCTCCTGGCTATGCCTGGGGCCTGTCACCCTCTTGCCTGTAAACCAGGAAGGCTGGCTGCACAGGGCAGTGAGCGGGATGCTGAGATAGCCCTCCCTCAGCCTGATTTGTGCAATGCCAGCTGCGAAACTCCTCCCCCTGTCCTGAGGACCGGCTCACACCTTCTCTGATTACTTGCTTGCTTCCCCAGTGGGATTGCCTGCAGGGGTGGCCAAGGTGAGGGAGTGGTCTGGCCCCATTGGCAAAGCTTCTACAAGAGCCTTGATAATGAGCATCCTGGTTTACACATCTCACCCAAAATACAGAGCTGCTCTTCCCAGGCTGACTTCCCAGGCTTCTGAACCTGCATTTTGATGAAATAATTATTATTGTCACAGTTATTAGTGGCTTGCTCTGTCTGTGCCAGGCACAGTGGGGAACCACAAACATTGTATGCAATAATTGAGAGTGGCAATGAATTTAAGCATGTTCCAGGGTCTAAAAAGCCTTGCACAGAACAAATCTATTTAGTATTATCTAAAGCAGCATAACCCAACTCATTTAACAACAGGGAGATTTTTCACATAACCCCTATTAACATCTTGCAGTGTTCCTGAAGCATGTTTGAGAAACCTGGAACTGAAGGCGGGAAAAGAATATGCATTTCTTATGCAGCTGTGAGAGGGCTATACACTGTGCTGGGTCCTGAACGTGCATTTTCTCAGGTAAGCCTTACACTGACCTCAGAGAGGTGTCATTGCCCTGCTGTAAATGAGAACCAGACTCTGACCAGCAAATGGTCTCCCCAAGGACTCAAGCCCGGCTAGAGAGTCACCGAGGCCTGCAAAGCCTCTTGATGCCTCTTGACTGCAAACCTGAGCTTGGACTTTCCTCTGCATTTGCTGCAGTTCCTACTTGCTCCTGTTTACTGGAGAGATCATGATTCCTGGAGGGAGAATGGAAAAGTCTCTACCTGCCACCCTGCACCATCATTGATGGTTTAGATTTACAAAGCTGGTCACATGGACTGTTCACTTCCAGATTAGACATAAATTCACTCCACCTGACCTCCGTTTCGTCATTTATAAAATGGAGCTACAGGTGGGGGTGGAAGGCAAATTAAAAAGACATGGTTAAAACGACTAACTGAACGGTCTCTAGGTCTCCTTAGCACATATATCCTGAATTTAGGAGACAAGTATTTGGCCTGTAATTTAGAAACACTGCCACCAGGGGGCGAGCTGGACTAGGCTAATAGTCTTTTGGGCTGGTTCTAGGTTAGAACATCTGAGGGTGCTTTTATAGGCTCCCCATCAGGTAGTATTTGCACATAACAGGAATTACGAAGAGGGTTCTGAATCACTAGGAGCAAATGAGACCCTGGATGGATTGAAGGGTGAATAATTTTTCCATTGTGTGAACTAATGCTTCTTAAGACCTGCTTCCTCTGCCTCCTTGAAACTGACTGTGAATTACACCATTTAGGGACCTTGGGAGCCTGAAGAACAAGGAATGCTATTGGAAACAGCAACAGTGGGATAAAGGCCTTACTTAAGTTTAAAAAATCTCTGCATGTTTTATTTTGCCGAAATAACAGCTTCTCTCCTCCAAAATATTCAATATTTAATTGAATGGGTTATTCAATTAAATAAACAAAATGGGCTCCTCTTAATGTTCTGAGATGAAATCTTTAAATGAGGCAAAGTCATCAAACCTGTTACATGGGTTCACTTCTATCAAAATTGAAATTGCTCGCTTAACTTTACATCAGCTCCCAGCATTCTACCACTTGGCCACCCTCGCTAGCATCTGCGTTCTCTTGGAAGGCAGTTGGGCAGCTCTCTCTTGCAGGGATAGAAACCAAAGCTGCATCTGAAAAGGACTAAACTCAATATAATTTGAAGTTGCACTTCTGCAGTATCCTTCCTATCCACCTGCAACACTCATACTTGTATCTGAGAGCAATGGATTGGTTTGTGGGGGCCTCATAGAAGGGACATAATGGGCAAATTTCATTCCACAGGGCTCATTCTGCAGGTCGTCATTTCCACCCATGTAACATATCATGAGATCCTTCCACGCTGGTGTACGGGCATGTGGTTCCTTCCTTCCCATTGCAGTTCGTCAGCCCACGTGTCTGCTCTCCTGCTAACAGATATGTACGTCAGTTGTTTTCTTATTACAAACAATGCTGCAATGACTATCTTTGTACAGAGCTCCTGGTGTGCATATGTGAGAGTTTTTCTGGGCTGCACAGAAATGGAATTTCTAGGTTTTATCATTTCAATGTTGCTAAATTCTTCCTTGCTGTTCTGCACTCAATTCATGGAGTGCATGGGAGTTTCCATTTCCCTCCTCACCCTCGCTTGCATGTTAATGTTTGCTGACACGAGGAATTAATGGCTTTAATTTACATTGCTCTGATTATTGGGGATATGAAGCAACTTTTCAACTCTTCTGTACATTTTCTTCAGTCCTTATTAACTCTTTATGTCCTAGCCAGACTGTGAGCCCCTGGAGAGAGGGGCTGTGTCTCACATCTAAGGTTCCTATGGGGCATAGCCCCAGCCAAGCACAGATTCTCTGCCTACCTTCCCCACCTGATCTCTATGCCCCACCTTAGAGCCCTACCCACCGAGCTTAAGCCATCCGTAGCTCCCCAAATCTGCCCTGCCAGGTTTTTGCTCACACTATGCCCTCTATATGGAATGCTGTGCCTCTCAGTCCACCTGAACATACCTACTATGTCCCAAGACTCATCTCAAGAGCTACCTTCTCTTGAGGTCTTCTATGACCACCAGACTCCACTTTATCCCTTTGTGCTTCCGCTGGCCCTGTACGAACATCTCGCTGCATTATGTGTAAAATGTGTAAAACTTCTAAGCATCTAGTTACTGGTCTATCTGTCCTCCCACCAGCCTCTGGACTCGATGGTGGTGAGGATGGTGCCTTGTCTCACTTATCTCTGAGCACCCTGTTCGCTGGGCAGAGGGTGGCACACAGTTCATGTTGGTCAGATGTATGGATGAGCCTCAGAGTCAGCTTCTTCCACATCAGTCCTGCAGACTATGAAGTCCTTGGGGACACGGACTGTATTGGGTCTGCATCACTGGCCCCCACAGTGCCTAGCTGGGCCAAGTGTTGGCAGTACTCAATGTGTATTTGTTGATGTGACAGTATGATTGCCTGATAGAGTAGAAAATGGCTTTGGTCAAAATTCCTTTGAGCCCCAGCTTCCTGTTGGTATGATCCTGGGCAATTTACTTGGCATCTCCAAGGCTTAGTTTCCTCACCTTCTGAAAAAGGATGATAATAGCTTTGTGGTGTAAAGATATATGGTCCTGTGTATAGAGCATTCGGCATATTCTCCTGGGCATCTGGTGTGTTATCATTTCTACATCAGAACAGTGTAGGGTCTACTTTACCTACAATACTTAGTAGCTCATTTTTTCAGTTGCCACATGTGATGAGCAGATAGTAGTTACTCAATAAAGATGAAGTCTGGTTTCTCCAGCACAAGAGCAGTGCCTTGCAGAAATGAGGTACCAAGTAAAGAAGGTGAGGGGAACTCAGTACCTTGCACACAGTTAGGTACCCAATAAGTATTAAATCAAGCCAAATTCACCTCCCCGTACTGCACCCTGTCCCAGTCCTATCTTAGGGAAGTCATCTCCTTCTGTGGGAGGAAGGGCAGTCTCCCTTTTCCTGGCAATGATCTGCTTTTGATGTTTCCCAAGTATAATGATGACTAGATGCTATTGTGGTGAATCCCCAGGGAAGCGCTCCAGCCTACAGAAATACTCTTGTGCAATCTCCTCCTCCTGAGCTTGGGCGTCACCATATGCCCCTTTGACCACAGGGACACTGACAAGCCTGTGCAAGGTGTAAGCCTTCACACACTGAGACTTGTCCTCTTGGAAGGCGCCTTACTAGAACGCAGTCACCATGTCAGGACAAAGCCCAAGCTAGCCACAGGGAGGGCCCCCAGTGAAAGCGGGATGCTCAGCCTGATCCCAGCTGTGCACGCATCCCTACGGCGGTGCCAGGCACGTGGGAGAAGCGGCTATCTTTACAGCAGATGCCACGTGGAGCAGGAAGGAGCTACGCGGAGCTCTGCCCAAATCGCACAATCATAAGCACATAATTGATCGTGGCTGTTTTAAGCCACTAGGTATTGGGGTGATTCGGAACATAGCAAATAATAAATACTGATGAGTAGAGCGTGGTTAGCATGATCTGCGGGTGGAGTGTGCCACCAGCTTGGAGACTAACCAGGTAAAAAGTTTCAGGAACAGCTGGTTTGCATGCCTGTCTAACCCGGAATTCCAGGGACTCCTCCCGGGGCCCCAGTTCCCAGGTCCCTCCCCTGTTGTTACCTTAGATTCTTACTGGGTAAGGATAAAATCTAGCTTAAACAACGGAAAGATGCGCAGACTCACAGATAGGAAGTCCAGAGGACAGGGGCTTCTGGCCAGGTGGATGGAACAGCTTGGTGAGGTCCTGGAGGCATGACGGTGCTGCAGCATCAGCAGCAACTCCAGTTTCAGAGAACTGCCTGGGTCCTCATTCCCTACAGCAGGACAGAGGGACGCTCCCCAGCTCTCGCAGCAAAGAATCTCCCAGAAAGCTACACAAACGCACACTTTTCTTTGCATTTCATTGGCCCAAACTGAGTCACATGCCCATTTCTGAATCAATCTCTCTTTCTGCGCAGGGGAGGAGTTAGAATTACTGAGAGACCAATCAAGCCCACCCCTGGTTCGGGGTTGGGGCGGCCTATTCCTCCAAAGTCCATGGCTCTTTGGGAAGGAATGGGTATCTGGAAATAACTGGGGCTCTGCTAGGCAGGGCATGCAAGTCACGGTCCAGTAATGTCGGCTCGTGGCATGACACGAGGGGACATGCCTCACCGGGCATGAGGCAGAAGCTGGACACACGGGGCTGAGACAATCCTGCTCAGCTCCACATCCTTCCCTGGACTTCTGGGGAAAGGTGTGCGTGTGTGTGGCCAGAGGGGAGCGTCTGGAGGGGGTCTGGGCCCTCCAGGCTTCTATCCACCCGCAGCTGGTCTCTCCAGCACACGTATCAGCCCCACCCCAGCGAGAGCCACCAGGCGGAGAGAATGTTCAGATTCCTGCCTTTATTGTCAGCACTTCGTCTGAGCCGAGGGCGCCTCCTCTAGGCCGCACCTAGTACTTGAAGCTCTTGCTTTTGCTCTTTTCTCCATGTTTCTCATCCAGGGCTTTCTGCAAGTTTATGTTCATAGCGTTTTTCTGGTGCCACCGTCCTGCAGAGGGCAGGGAAGGAGCCAGCACAGATCACCCAGAGGACCTCTGGAGGGCCCAGTCCCCAGCAGTGACCCATACCCCTTCAAGGCCACCCCAGGTCTCTATCTGCTGTCCTGTTTCTCTCTGGACCCCGAGACCAACATGCCCCGCTCAGGATGGGGAGAGCCCACCTCCCGTCCCCCCAGCTTCCCGCATACCCAGATCATCCGTCTTCCTGCCATGCCAGTGCTCCATGTCCCTCACTGATTTCTCGATCACCTCTGGCGTATAGGAGGCCTTCATGAGGCTCTTCATCTCCTCAGGGGCCCCTGTGAAACCCCAGAAGCCCTGAGTCAGTCGAGGTCAGGTACTGTAGGGTTCATCCCTGGCTGTCAGTGTCCCCTGTGGATGGTGGACTGTGGGAGGGTTGGGGAAGGGGAGGGTAAGGCAGAGAAGGCAGGCCTGGGTTCCAAAAGTGGCATAGAAAAAGCGGCACAAACAGAAAACACGAAATAAGGTCATAGGAATAAATCTAAATGTATCAGTAATTAGATATACATATAAATGGACTGAACCCATTGATTAAAAAGACAGATGATCAGAACACAGAAAGTATTTGCCAGATATATATTACTTAAAGCGTACTTAAAACAATAGGACACAGAGAGGATAGCTGTGGAAGTGTAGAAAAAGATACACCAAGCAAGTACTAACTCAGAGCAATCTGGGCCTGCTGTACTGATTTCGTCCATGGACAAAATAAGACTACAAGGCAAGGGCATTATGAGAAATAAAATGACTGCAATTCATTCAGGTGATATAAGAGTTCTAAACTAGATGCATGCAAATTGACAGCTATAAGGAGAAACAGACAAATCTGCTATCATAGAGAAAGACCTAAAGATAATTGTTTAGTAGTTAATAGGTCAAGCAAAGAATATTAACAAGGAATTAGAAATAATTAACAAGCTTGCTCTATTAGACCCAGAATCGTAAGTCCAAGAGATTATCTGCAAACACATACCCATCCTCCAGAAAAATGGCCTGCTGCCCTATAAAGCACGTCTGAACAGTTTCAAAGGACTGGAACCATCACCGGTCATCGTCTAAAGACAATGCCATCAAGCCACAGATCCACTTTAAACTATTTTTATTGTGTTTAGTATTTATGGCTCTAAATGCTTAAGAATGTTGTTAGAAATTTGGACTAAAGCCCTGAGTATGATAGAGATCAGATATCAAAGTGAGCTGTGAAGCCGACTCTTTCGGATGGGAATTGAAAGTGTCTAAAATATCTGTTAAAAACACACCTGCATCAAAGGCATAAATGGTTGGATCTGGGAAACTGGCCAGCATGTTTTAAGAGGGTGTTTTTGACTTTTTATGTGTTGAGTCGCCATCCCCAAAACCCGGGTGGCGCGGGCCTCTCACAATAAATCTAACTAAAGAGGCTTCAGTGGGGCCAGTCTGGGGAACACCAAAGCTTTGAGCAAAGGCCTGGGCCTGAGATGGCAGGGCAGGGAGTGCACACAGGTCAGCCAAGCCTTCGACAGGCGCAAGGGTGCCCAACTGTTTCTGTGGACCGGGGGCTCGTGGAGCAGACCAGCCTGGAGCCATTTCAAATCCTACCCCTGATCTGTCCCTTGTCTCTGGTCTCCCTGCCTCTACTCTGGCCCCGCTATGTTCTGTCCAGTCTCAACACAACAGACCGTTGGAGCCTTTGAAACCTAAGTTACTCCTCTGTACAAAATCTGGCAATGGTGTTCAGTAAAAAGGCCGGGAAGAGCCGCTGTCCACAGCGTGGTCCCAGTGTCCAACTGGGCTCTTCCCCAGCAATCCGCAGGCAGGCTGACCTGCTTCCCTCCTGCAGGTCTTTACTTCTCTGTGAGGTGGACCCTGACCAGCCTATTTGATACAGCTTGGGGTTTCACACGCAGGGGCGAATGCTGTAAAGAAGAGCAAAGACAGGCAATGCAGCTGGAGGAAGCCCAGGTTCCTGTAAAGCCCGCCCTTAACCCAGGAGGCGGCACAGAACAACTTCATCTTTACACTGCAACAGCATGGATTTTTGTATACTCTTCTACATGGATGGACGTTTTCACAATTTAAAAAATTATGCATCTACACTGGTTTAAATGCAGAAACACAAGCTTGGTTTAATATTAGAACATCAGTTAATATAACTTACCACATCAATAGATCAAAGGAAAAATATCATATGATCATCTGAATAACTGCTGTGTAAATGGTTAAAATAACTCAAGATCCAATCATAATTTTTAAAAAATTAACGTGCAAACTAGGAGTAAAGGGAACTCCCCCTTAACCTGATAAAAGAAATCTTCAAAATTCTTTTTTAAATATTATATATAATGATAGAATGTTAGAATCAAGGATACCGGCTTTCCCTGCTTACAGGCACCATTGTCCTAGACAAGTTGGCCAGAGAAATGGCATAAAAGTGGGAAAAGCCTACTAGTTAAGGTTCCATACTGCCACAGTTCAAATCCCAACTCTGACCAATCCTAACTGTTTGGCCTTTAGCAAGTTTTTTAACCTTCCCTTGCATTAATTTTTTTCTATCTAAAAAAAAATTGGAATTATAGCACCTCCTGCATAAAGTTCTTATGAAAATTAAAATGTGTATATATAAAGTACTTAGAGCAGTGCCTGGCACATACTACATGCTATGCATAAATGTAGCCACTATTATTATTATCATTAAAAAGAAGCCCCAAAGAATCTACAAACAAATTATTGGAATTAATAGGTGAGCTGAACTAGGCTTCTGAATGTAAGATTAATATATAAAACTAAAACTGCATCTTTGTATACAAGCTGCAAAGTTAGAAAATATAATTTTAAAAAGATATCATTTGTAATAAATAGCAAGAAAAATAAAATCTAGCAAAACACCTACATGATCTTTATAGAAAAAAATTATAAATAGTGTTATTAACAGATACTGAAGGAAGATTTTAATTAATGGACCTGCATACCATATTCATGGATTGGAAAACTCATTATCATAAAGCTGATAACTGCCCCTAAATTGAGCTGTAGATTTAATGTACTTCCAGTCAAAATGCCAACAGGGTGTGTCATTGGAAACTGACAAACTGATTTTAAAGTGTAGACGGAGGGGTAAAGAACCTAGAATACCCAAGACCTTAGCCAGTGGTGGTGGTAGTGGGGCCAAGGGTGGGTGGGGACTGTCCAACCAGATATCAGACTCCTTATAATGCTTGGTAATTAAAAGTGTAATATTATACCAATGGGAAGAAAAGAGAGCCTTGAAACTGATCCGTGCCCACATGGAAACTTGATGGATACCAGTGGTGCCATTATAGGTCACTGAGGGAAAAGGTGGGACTGTTCAGCAAAAGGTACTGAGACAATTGGTAATCCACATAAAGGGTGAATTAAAAATGAATCTCTGCTTCACACTAAAAACAGAAATCAACTCCAGGTGAATTAAAGATTTAAATGTGAAAAGTAAAACTAAGTATTTGAGAAGATTATATAAAAGACTTTCCTTATGACTCAGCATGGGCTAGGATTTCTTCAACCCACTCCTCCTGGAAGCCCTCTATCTCAGCAAATAGCAATTCTGTCCTACAAAACCCTTGAAATCAACCTTCATCCCTCCCTCATATACCCCAAATCCATTCATTAGCATATTCTGTTCAATCTACCTTATACAAATCCCCAGAATCTTACTACGTCAGGTCACCCTCACCATTACTTCCCTGGGCCACCATGTTGCACAATGGTGCCCTCCAGAGTAGTGTACCCCTGCCCTGTCCATAGACCAAGCCACCATCCTCTGTCCCACCTGGACTTTTGCAGTCACCTCTTCACGGGGCTCCCTGTTTCTGCCTCAGCTCCCCTACATCTGTTCTCAATACAGCAACTGGAGTGATGCTCTAACCTATGTCAAACAACGCCATTCTCCTGCCTGCCTTGGCTTCCCATCTCACTGGGAGAGAAGACTTCCAGTGGCCCTCCCCACTGAGCTGCCTCCTCTCTGCTTTCCTCTCTGAGCTTCTGTTCCAACAAAAGAGCTTCAACATCCTGGAAGAGCCGGCGCAAGGACTGCTGGGGCTGGAATGGGGGATGCAGGGCGAGGCTCACTGACATAGTGTGCTCAAGGTCAAGCCCTAATGTGCAGCGCTTGCCAATTTCTGGAGTATAAATACTACCACCACCGATTGCTATATAGCATTGTGATGCCAGTCAATGAAGGCAAATTCAACAATCTACTCTTGTGAACGGGTCGAGCTGGTTTGAGCCGGCTCCAGCACACCCCTGGCTCAGGTCCTGGCTGGGAGACAAGTACACAGAAGCCTCTTCTACTCTTTTTATATTCCTGTAAACATTACCCTAGAGGGTTGTGTAAGAAAGATTGGTAATAATTGTTAAAGAGGTAAGTGGAAGGCAGGATCCC